GGGGGGGGCGGCGGTCTGTCACCCCAGCCCCCAGCCCCGCCGGTTCCCAGACTCCGGGCCTTTGCCTGAGGCGACCCTTGGGTGGGTGCCAGCCCCCTCTTCCCCACGAGGACGGCGCGCCAGTGTGACTTGTTTAATGGCACGTTCCCTCCATCCCCCGTCCCGCCGCGCCTCCCGGCAGGTTGTGCATGGCGGGGTCCCGTTCTCTGCACACCCCGGGCCCGGCATGGTGCTTGGTACACAGCAATACACGCTGACTGAACCGACAGGTGGAAATGCAGGATGGGTGCGAACCACTGCTCCCTCAACAGGACTTCGTAAGAGAGAACCAATACTCATTGCCCAAAGCGAGAAACTTCAGCGTCGCGCTCTGAGCCACAGGTCAGGGGTCAGGGCCCCCGCAGGGTTCCAGGAAATTATGTTTCAACCAGTTCCCTCCCCTAAGAGGAGAAGACCAGGGAAGGGTCACTTTTGATCAAGCAGGAAGGAGATCAAACATGCGCTCCAACACATCAAGCATGTTGTAATCAAGCAGAGAGTTCCCCCTAGCGGGGAGCGTGCTCCCTTACTTTGTTGGGTCTGAAGGAAACAGCTACAGATGGGCCCAGGCCTTCCCTGTTTTGGGGCCCTTGGTGACATCAAGAAAGGGCTCTTGTTAAGTCTGTTTTTGCGCCAGAGTTTCTCCTTCCATCTGCTCACAGTACTAGGCTCAATCAGAACTCTCTCTGGATGGTTATTCCAAAGAGCTGAAAAGCCTCTGATCAATGGGCCAACTGTTAGTGGAAAAGCATCCTCAGGTAAATTGGCATGAAGCCCACTGTCTTGCAGAAACTGGGCCTGCCGAAGCCCTTAGGTTAGGCATGCAATAAAAATATTTTCTGTAGTACATAGACCCCAATAGAGGTAACATGTTTTGAGAGCCCACTATATGCCAGGCCTTGTGTTGGATGTGGGGAGTGCTGAAGCCAGGGAGAAAGTTGTCAGTCTACTGTGTCAGAACCCTCGGTGGTGGTTATGTGTTCATACCATTATTTGCTCCCTGCACAGTCTGAGCCCTGTCCCTTATCCTGAGGATGGTTTCTGAGCGAGAGCTACAGGGTGAGGTCCTAAAGCCCCCCCCACACCCTGAAGTTGCCCGGGGTAACGGAAGACTCTCTCCTCCTTCTCTGGGGCTACCATAAGGGCCCGTGAAATGCAAGCCCTTGTTAATAGGCTCCTGGACACTGTGCTGTGAGAGGGCAAGCCTACTCTGCTGCCTTTCAAGCCCCTTGGCAGCCAAGAGTGCCAGTTGGGGCAAACACCTAATCCTCATCCCACCCTGGCTGGGGAGGTGGGAGGCTAGACCGGCAGGCCACAGGTCTACTAGGTACTAACTCTGAGTCCCAGGGGCAGACTGGCCCAGAACAGAGCACAGGCTTTATGGAACCAAGCCAACCTGGGTTTGAAATCTGGCTTTGTAAACTTATTAGCTATAGAGCTTGGAAAAAAGGTCCTGAACAGTTTTGAGCTTCAGATTTCTTATCTGAAAAATGTGGAGAATAGCATCTTTCCTTGCAGAGACGTTAAGAATAAAATATTAATGTATAATACAGGACACAAAGTAGACCCAGAAAAAAAGGGGACTACTCAGACCCTCCACCTGCCTTTTGAATGACAGAATTCCTGTTGTTAGGTGCTAAGGCTGAGGTAAAAGGGCTGGGGGGAAGGAAGGGACAACTTCACTCCTGGGGCCTGGCATCCTGGCTGCCACCCTCGGCAGCTCATCCGAGGATCTAATGAGATGACACATCTGTAATGCTCCTGGCTCAGTGCCTGGCACATACCATATGCTCAACTGACAGGAGACATCATCCTTCTTAGTCTAGATTTGTCTCCATGTCCATGAAAAATATTACCTTCTGATCTAGAAAGATCAGGTCCCAGGAACAGATCTGGTTTTCAAACAAGTCACACAAGGTTTGCAGGATGCCATGGTATTTAGGGCTTGGAAGAGTTTCTATTGGGTGGACCTGTTCTTCTAGGAGCAGACCAGGTGTCCTGTGCTAGGTAGTCTGTTCTGGCATTCCAGGCCCTGTTCCTGGGTAAATGGTCACCCTAAGTTACTTGTACTTCCCTGAGGGTGAAAAGGTAAGAGGAAGTAAAATTGTATTTTTTTTGATGGGGCTAAAAATTGATCCCCCCTTCCCCATTACTCCCTGTGGGTTCCTGTGGGGCAGGAGAAAAAAAAAAAAAATCTACTTCTCCTGTCTAACTCCCGCAGAACGTAAGAAACTCTCTCCTCCCTGATGAATTCAGTGCATGTGTGCCAGTCCTTACATGAGGCTCTGGAGGGTCTACCAGGCTAAGCTGGTCTCCATTCAAAGCATTTAGTTGGAAAAGCTAAAGCCATGGAGGGAGCACTCACTCTCTGCTCCGCATTCTGCCTCCTGGGTGACCAAGTGACTTCAATTCTTTGGGCTTTATGCCAATTCTGAATGACCTAGTGTTCACTTCTCATCTGACCTATTTTGTGGCTTATACAATCCTTTTCAGGGGTGTCTGGGTGGCTCAGTCGGTTAAGCATCTCCCTTCGGCTCAGGTCATGATCGAGGGTCCTGGGATCGAGCCCCGCATCAGGGGAGCAGGGGAGCCTGCTTCTCCCTCTTCCCCGCTTGTGCTCTTTCTCAAATAAAATCTTAACAACAACAACAAAAATTCTTTCCAGTTCTTTGTTCAAGACCCTGCACATCTCACACCTCTTCCAGGATATTTTTCCAGATCTCTGCAGCTGAAACAAATCTCTGCCCTTGGTTCTTCCATCTGTCTTAGCCCAGCCTGCTTTGTTACGGTTAATTTTGAGAGAAAACATTTACTGAGCATCTCCTCTAGACCTGGATCTGAGCTGCTTTGCTAAGTTCTGAGGTTCAGTTGCTCCTCCTCTTCTCTTCCCTTCCCCCTTTACTTTTGTCGCATATGGCTGAATTTGCTCATGCTAAATGCACACATGGGGCCTCTTCCACTGAGTGGCTGACCACCTGTGATGGGCCGGGCATTCCCATGGTTGTCGGCAAGATGAGTGACAGAAGCTGAGAAGCCTGGAGAGCGCTTGCCCTGGCCAGGGGGCAGTGACCGCCATTCAGCTGAGGCCTGCAGGTGAGATCTGGGGAAAAGGGTGACGCCAGCGGGGCCAGGGGAAATGGTTTCTCGAGATGCCTTGTATAACTGGTAGCAACTTTACTCAGTCTTCTCGAGTTACCACACTTAAATGGACACAGCCTGCAGAAGACTCAAAAGTACATATTCAAATGCACCTCTGTGTCTAGAAAGTGAAAATGGGATTGCACAACACCTGGCAAGGGGTCGGGGGGCTCTGGGGAACCTCTGCCCAGGTTCCCATTCATTCTCCTTCATTTCCCTTGACTACTGTTCTTGAAGTTTCCTTCCTTGTAGAGCGAGCTCCATTATCGCACCTGCTAGCCTCGGTCTGCCTCTGGTTTTAGCTCATCCGTAAATTTAGGATGAATAAGCTGGTGGTGCTCAGCTTGTGTACTTTCTTTGGCCTCACGGGGGCCAGCCCGCACATGGGGATGGATAAACTTGCCTGGTTCCAAGGGGTCAGGCAGCAGGGCTGTTTGCTCACACTAAGCTACAAATGCGAACTTAGCTTTCATCAGCAGTCAAGGTATTATTTCGGGTCCCATCTAATATTTTAAAACCTCCCACTTTGCTCAGCACTGGGGGATGGGGGTGGGGTTGCCGGGCCACTTGGGAAACTGCAGCAGAGCCTAACAGATAAGGCAGGGTCCAGTCGGAGACACAACTCCCTGCGGCCCCTGGCTATCCAGGATATTCTGCTGCCCACAACGTGTCTGAGGCAAGTAACCAAGGAGGGCTCTGCCTGCACTGGCTATGCATGTGTACTTGTCACCTGGGTAGAACCAGGAGCACCTGCCCCAGTTCTGTTGAGCCCTAGAGAAAAGGACGTTCTAATGAGAAGGAGCAAATGACAGTCACTTCCAGGGCATTAAAGAAGAAGGCATGCCCATCAGGCCACTGGGATGTCCCGGTTTCTAGCAGAGGAAGTCTGGATTACAGCTATGGTCAACAAGCCATTATGTGTCAGTGGATTTTCATGAGCTCATCCAAACATTTTACCCCAGTCGGCTTCGTTCTATGGGAGAGCACTAGGCCCTTCCACCTCGGTCAGTTACTTAACCCTTCGGAGTGTTACGTTTTCCACCTGTAAAATGCAGGTAGAACTATGTCCCTCAAATGACTGTGAAGATCAAGTGGGACGGTGCTGATTAAAACACTTGGCTCGGTGTCTGGAGATCTAGTAGATGCTCAATAAATCTTCATTAACTTGACTCAATTTATTTAACTACAAAACTAATCAAACTCATTTGGAAGATAATGCTGTACAAGACCCCTCGGGTCTCCACGAAGAGACCTTCACTGCTATGGGACCACGGATGCCTACGTTCTCTCTTACTAAGTGATAACTGTCTTCCTGGCCACAGCAGACGTGGAGTGTCTCTAACCACGTGACCCTACATCTTGGGAGTTAAAAACTCCAATGAAACACAAAAAGCCAACTAACCGACCAAACACCAAGCTTTTAGTCCCCAGCCGGCCAGGGTCAAGTCCCCAGACCACCATCCCTGTGCAGTGTTCATGGCCACCATGTGCGGGACAGACCAGCCGCTTCCCAAGGGCTGATGGCGCGCTCTCTCAGAGCCCTGATTCCCTGGGCCGAGAGCCCGACCGTACCTGTAATTGTGGAACCAGTTGATGACGGTGCTGGTTTTCAAGTTGAGCTGGGTGGCGAGTTCTTCGATGGTTTTTGGTGACGGGTATGGCTTTTGCTGATAAGCTCGTTTCAGAGCCTCTTTCTCTTCGGGAGCCAGCACCACTCGGGGTTTCTTCAGCTGGTGCTGGGGCTGGGGGCTGGCGCCCTGGCTGTAGTCAATGCCAACGGAGGGGGGCTCGCAGGGCTGGCTGTCGCTGACTGAGCTGTGCCGCCGCTTCATGTATGCTGAGGGAGGGAGAGAGGTCGGACTGAGCTGCGGGCCCCACTGGGAGATCTGCCCAAGCCCCCGACCCCCCAGAGCACCACGGTGCCCCGCTGGCTCACAATGACTTTTGTGTAGACCGTGGTAGCTGGCTGGTCTGCCCTGCTCTTCCAAAGAGTGTCTCAAAACACTTGGACTAGAACCATTCGGAAACCCAGCACACACTCATCAAGGAACCGCTCTGCTGTACCGCCAGGTTGCCGGCTGTCCCTGCCGAACGGCTTAGTGGGGGATGCAGGGAAGTATACAGGTGACCCCCGTAGAGCGCAGTGAGGGAGGCAAGCACGGGGGATCATGGAGGGAGGCACTAAGGGAACGCCTGGGGAGGGGTCAAGGGAGGCTTTTGATGGCCAAGGAGTGATTAACCAGAAAAAATAGGTGATGAGGTAGAAGATGGTAGGAGGCTGTTTCAAAAAGTGGGACAAGCGTGTGCAAAGACCCAGGGGCACGAGACGGCACAGTTCCAGAGTGTGTGTGTGCGCACGCGTACGTGCACAAGGGGTATGGAGGGGGATGCAGGAGCTGGAGAGACAGGCAGGGTCTGGGTAGGCCGGAAGTTTGGACTTGACCTTAAATGCAGTGGGAAGAAATGAAGAAGCTTTAGTTAGAGGACTGGTATGAGCAGCTCTACGCGTTTTGGGAAGACTGCTCTGGCTGCAGCTGAGGACGGACTGGATGGGAGGACTGGCAGGAGGGCCCTCAGTTAGGAGGTAAGAATGATAAAGATCGGAACTGGGGAGGTGGCGGAGGGGTTGGAGGAAAGCAGAGGGCGTGGAGGTGGTAGGGGCCAGAGCTGACAGGACTGGGGGACAGACTCCTGAGGGACTGAGGAGAGCGGAGGAGCCCCCTGGTCTCAGGCTGGGAGATGAGCGGGGGCGCTGGCGTCTCTGGGTCGCCCACAGGGAGATGTCCTGGAGGCAGCGGGACTGGTAGGTAGGCAGCTCAGAAGAATGGTCTGGGCTAGAGAGAAGAATTTTGGACCAATGGTTGCAGTCTATGCCGTCGAGGAGAAAGACCAGGGCTGAGAATGGAACCCTGTGGCACACACCCACGGGCAGAGATACCCCCGGAAAGAAGCAGCTACGAGGGATCCAGGGACAGGAGGAAAACCAGGAGACGACCATGGGAGCAAAGGGATGAGTGAGGAGAGCCGAGCAACGGCATCAGTGCTGCAGAGCCTGACGAGCCCCCAGGAGGCCCTCTGGCTTTAGCGGTTAGGACAGAACTGGGGACCGTGGTGAACAGGTGCAGTGTCGCTGTGCGAGAAGCCCGGCGGCGGTGGGCGGAGGACTCCGCGGGAGGTGAGGAGGTGAAGGCAGTGAGCACGAGTTCTTCTGTTAAGACGCCCAAATGTAAAAGAACAGCGAGACAGGATGGCTTCTAGAAGGGAAATCCAGGGCTGAGGGCGGATTTAAAGATGAGAGCGAGCTGACAGTGTTTCCACAGCTGAGGGGAGAGAGCTGGTGGTACAGGTGAGAGACAGGATCACTGCAGGTGCCGCGGGAGGCAGGACGGGCGGGGGCGGTGGGCTGGAGGTGCAGACAAGCTGACAGGGACCGAGGTGGGAAAGCTGGGGGCCTGCGTCCTCCTGAGGAGGAGGGAGGCAGGAGCAGAGGTGATCTGAAGTGATGGAGACGGAGTCCTGAGCGGGGTGGAGGAGAGGGGGGGCCCGGGGTGGGGAGAAGAGCAGGGGACCCCGCCGAAGCTGGAGCCCCAAATCCGAGGCAGCTCCAACCCACCTAGAGCTGGGATGCTCAGGTCCCAGAAGCCAAGGAGAACGGGTGGAGAGAGCCGGCGGAGCGCTAATCCAGGGCTGGGATTTGCAGGGGGATGGGGAATGGGAAGCCGGAGAGAGAGAAGTTTGTCTCGGACGATGGCCAGAGCATCCTGGAGTGATGGATCAAGGAGTCTGGGATGTTGGCGGAAGGAGGCAAGGGCACCAGATGGCAAAATGATGGGGCAAAGCATGGGACCCTAACCCTAACCCTAACCTCTCCAGCAAATGAGTCCTCCACAGTGAGCTTTCTAGTGGGTTAGCTTGGAATATGGTCTGAAAATCCCTTACAACTTCTTAAAACGGATGGAAAATGGGACGTAGCATTATGTGACTCAAGCAGCAGGTGGGGAGGAAGAGCGGCTGTAGCAGTAGGGCCAACATCTGTCGAGCGATCCTCCCAGTTACGCCCCGCGAGGGACCATGACCGTCCCGGTGTACAGAGGCCGAGACCGAAGGCCAGAGTGAGACGCTCTGCCTCGGGTCACAGAGCTGGTACGTCTGACCTTTGTCTACTCTGGGCCCTGCTGCCTGCTCTGTCCTGCCTGATGGTGGCCAGGGCCCCAGCCCTGCGGCAGCCCTCACCTTCGGGTCACAAATAAACGTCACAGGAGAGGACTATGGGTGGTCAGAGGAGCCCACGGGCTAGCCCAGGTGGTACGTGCGCGCGTTGTGCGCGTGCGTCTGGGGGCCGAGGGCTGTGTGAACAGGTTGGTTCAAGGGCCATCTCATAAAGGGACAGAAAGCAGAAGGCAGACCAGGGTGGACACAACATGTTTAGAGGACAGGAAGAAGGAAGGAGAGCAATAAAACATTCGAGCTGACGGGAGAAGCATGCAAAGCTTTCGTTTGGGAAGAGAAGGAAGCAGAGAGCACGTGGGATCACCCGGCGTGGTCTAGACTGGGAGCACGACGGGCTTTCATCTACTTTAAAGGAACCCAGCTTATTTTAAAAACTCATTTGCTGAGCAGTTATGTGTGCTGGTTGCTACGCTTGGCATGTTCTTTCTGATGCTCACAACCTGGAGAAGTTTGCATGAGCAGCCTCATTCTGCAGAGGCAGAAACTTAGGCCAGGAAGTGACTTAACTAACTTGCCATTTTAGGATTATATCTAGGAACACAGTGGAGAAGGCAAATCTTCCCCCAAAGAGAATGAGTATGATACAGTCAGTGGCCAGAAAGAACCCAGCCCAGTGTGTCCAGCTGACCGCTCCCATTGGGCGGACATCACAGGAAGCGCTATGCTCTGGCTCACCCACTGGTGTGTCTGGGGCAGGCTCCTCGAGTGAGCATCCCTGCTAGAGGGAGGGAGAAGACAGTGGGCCCACAGCTGCTTTTAGGGACCTTGGGATGGATGTGAGGAGGGGCCTGGGCTCGGTGGAAAACAGTAACTCTCTTGAAACACAAGATGGCGCCCAGAGCTCGTGCTGGAGGAGCAGAGGCCTAGGAAGCCCCCAAAGATCTACTTGTGGGGGCAAGGGTCCTTTTCTAGTGGCCTCTGAGGAGAAACATACCAGGGGGTGACAGAACCAGGGCTGTCCCTCTCCTGATGCCTGCAGCCATGGGGGGCTGGCCTCGGAGGGCTGGCCGGGGGGGCTCCCAGGGAGCTCAAGGAGGCAGGCACTGCCTTTTGCCAGTGTGCAGAAGGCTTTCACACCGCTTGGGTGGGCACGGATAACCGCTGAAACTTGGTAATGGATATACTGGGTTCATGGTACCGTTCTGCTTTTTGGTTTGAAATTTCCCAAGGTAGAAAATTAAAAAACTTTTGGGGGTGATGTGGCACCAGGCATCTGTGGCCACCCAAAGGGCTGTGGACTGTGTCAGGGCCTCGGTCTATACCCCGGAGGGCAGGCCGGAGTCCACCGGAGGGCCCTGTGTGTGGTGGAAGGCCGCTGTGTGGGCCCACTGGTCCCAGGGTGGCAGGCTCTGGGCATAAGGGAGCACAACACACGTCAGAAGCACTGGCTCCAGAGTCGGCCAGCCTGTGATTCTGGATTCCTGCTCCCTCCTTTTGCCAGTGGTTGATATTAGGCAAGTCTCATAATGCCAGAGCCTCATCTTTCCCGGAGAATGCGCCTACACTGGACAGAGCTGGGGGGCGGGGGGGACTGTGTGAGGTCTCAGCACAGCACCTGGCGAACAGGAGGCCCGACCCCACGGAGCTCTCGGAGGAGACACCAGAGATGCTCACTTCCTCCTGGAGCTCTGGCCCTTGCCCTGGCTGGGTGACAACAGTGCCACCAGGCCGGCCGTGAGCAGCAGGCTCTCTTGGTCAACTCGGAGGATGCAGGCCCGGGCTCCGTGCCCAGCCCCTGGCTCAGACATGCCCTGGCCACACAGGTGGGTGGTGCCTCGCCTCCACATCTAAGGGATTCCGATTCGGCCACTCCGTGAGCTTACAGCACTGTGCGTTCTGAGGGGAGGACCCATGAGTGAAGAGCCGCAGGTAGGAGTGCAAACCAGGGGACAGATCAGACATTACTTTGCACCACCAAGGTGCCCGAAGAAGGCCGGTCAGCATTTGAGAGGGCTGCAGATGCATACAGAAAGAAGAGCCGCACTTGGCCCTCAAGGGGGCTGAGTCCTGCAGAGCCCCACAGACCATGAAGTAACAGCGAGAGAGACCTGCTCTGGCAGGAATTCGCTCTTCTGTTTTCCAGGCTGGGTGACCTTAATGGAGGTGCCCAACTTCTCTAAACCCGAGTTTTCCTTATCTACAAATGTGTTTATGAATGATCTCGCCAATAAGATACAATACAGAAGGCCCTGGCACGTGGAACACGTGCACGAGACGAACTGCCCCACGTACCCGCCAAGACAGAGACAATAAACAAATGGGCCACCACCACCGAGTGCTGTGATGTTCACCTCTCGGTAGCCTTAAAGAAGAAAAAGGGTACAGTGACCGCCAGGGCGACTATAAGGAACCGTCCGGGTGCCCCTCCCCCACGCCAAAATGTTTTTGGGTTCAGTCCGCTGGGGAGAAAAAGTCACAAATCTTCCCAGTCCTCGTAGGTCCTTGTCAATTGATGATTGTCAAAAATCCCTTTGCCCTGCCTGACCACAGATCAGTGTCTCTCACCAGCTCTGCACACAGGCTTCAAAAGAAACGGTGCATTCGTAGATGAGAAGGCAATTGGCCAGAGTGGGCAGTGGGGCTTACCTTTCTTTTCCATGCGTTTCATGTCCATCAGCTTCTCCACGTTGTTGGGGTCATTCAGCCATAGCTGCATCCGGACAAAGGGCTCCCGTCCCTTCAGACTGAGCTTGTGCCAGGGCTTTGGGCGAGCAAGGAGGTCGGAGACGGAGCCTTGGGTGAGCCCTAAGATGGTCTCCCCAAATAAGCGCTGACCTGGTGAGAAAACAGAACCGAGAGAGACATTACGACGGAGGCCAAGGGATCTGGAAGGACAAGTATGAGCCAATGTTAAAGTCAGACACGGGGTCTGAAGCCCTAGAGTCTGGCCAGCTGGGGGGCTGCCTCGGAGCAAGCACTTTCTAGAAGCATTTCTTCAGGAGTGACCTGGGTGGCTCAGTTGGTTAAGGGGCCGACTCTTGGTTTTGGCTTAGGTCGTGATCTCGAGGTTGTGGGATCGAGCCCCATGTTGGGCTCTGCACTCGGCGCAGGGTCTGCTTGAGAGTCTCTCTCCTTCTCCCTCTCTCTCCTGCTCGCGCTTGCTCTCTCTCTCTCAAATAAATAAAATCTTTTTTTTTTTTTTTTTAAAAGAAGCATTTCTTCAACCAGACTTGTGACAAACTCCACTGATGATGGAGTCACTATTACTCCCGCATTCTGTGGGCACACGACAATGTTTCTCTCAAAAAAGCCTCCAGGCTTTGGATGTACTGAGGCCTGGATAACACACCTGCAGCGCTTATCAGAGGTGGTTAATCCCTCACCCAAGCTCAGGAGGTTAAGTAGCACACGGGGAGCCCTCTCTTATACAACCTCAAACCACAGGGCTGTCTGGCTCCTTTCACGATTAGCAAGGTTATCCGGTCTTGCTGAGAAAACAGGCCACTTGACCCAAGGTCACAGCAGGAAAGAGAAGGAGAAAGAGCCCCTCAGCTCTGTTTTTCTGAAAAGCAGGCCATTTCCAATTCGAAAGTCTATTCCCGCAGTCTAAGCTGCCTCTGCTGACTGGAGCTCAAAGGGGATCAAAACCCCTTCCTCGATGCCTTTTCTCCGAGGCCGTGGTGGGCAGCCTGCTCCCCAGGCTGATCAGAGGGAATTCTGCTCTGGAGAGCAGAGCGGCCCCAGGTTGGCCATGTTCGTCAGAGGCTTAAAAAGAAAATGTCTCTTCTCTGAGAGCCATTCAGCTGCAGGTTAAGAGGGGCCGGCACTTTTGAAGGCGCAAATGAGAATCAGGGACAACCTGAGCGACCAGATGGGAGAACGTGAATAAAAGGACTTATTAGGCGGAAATGGAGACTGGGAGCAGACAGGCCAGTGTTTGGTGCCACAGAGCGTAGGGGACATGACCCCCGGGGCCCAGAGCAGCTCTGCCCCTCCGTGGCAGGGTGACCGTGGATGACAGACAGGCTCACGCCCACCGTCTGCGAGAAACACCACCGCCTGTGCCCATAGGGCAGGTGTGAGAAATGGCAGAGCACCTCCTTGTAAGAAGCCAGGCTTCAAGTTGAAATTTACTGCACAGAAAGCTTTGGATCTTGAGAATTTTTTTTTGGCATCAGTCATTTTTTTTTTTTTAAGATTTTATTTATTTATTTGAGAAAGAGAATTGAGAGAGAGAGAGAGAGAGAGAGCACAAGAGGGGGGAGTGGGAGAGGGAGAAGCTGAGCAGGGAGCCCGATGCGGGACTCGATCCCGGGACTCCAGGATCATGACCTGAGCTGAAGGCAGTCGCTTAACCAACTGAGCCACCCAGGCGCCCTTGGCATCAGTCATTTTAACTTACAGATACATTTACCGATTTTGTAAACCTGTGGTTCCCTGCATTTCAAATTCTTAGTTTAGCCTATAAACATCCTAAATCCTTACCAGATTTTTGTTGTGGTTGTTTTAAATAAATTTTATCTAATTCTGAACCTGGCAAATGAATCTTGTTTCATTCCAAGGAGCTCGCTATGTTCAGGAAAGTGAGAGATGTAATAAACAGCTGGTTACTACTTGCTTGACCCACCTTGTTGTGGGTGGGGGAGGAGAGGAAATCATATGAATATTCTTGGAAATTTTTATTACTTCTAGAGGTTACATAGCAGCGGCTCTCAATCGTTTTTGGGTCATGGACCTACTTGAGAACCTGAAGAAAGCTATTGACCCTTACCCGATAAAATGTGCGCACACACGCACTCTGCTTATGATTTCAAGAGACTGACCCATGAACACCTCAAGATCTCAAGTCAGAAGTGAAGAGGATGCCTGGCCTTACAGCTGCATAATTCAGCTATAATTTGGCCCCCTCCGTGCCCAGTACTCCACTGAGAGACCCCAGCAGGGGAGGCAGCTTCTTCCCTGGAGAAGGTAAGACCAGCTACAGCAGCCACTGAGACGGCTTCTCAGCTCCACGGCGGCGCCGCCAGGGAGCTCTTCCGGAAGTTCCTGCTCCGAGAGGAGGAAGGCCTCTCTCTCTCTGGTGTGGTAAGTTTCACCCCTGATTCTGTGCTTCACAGCATTTGAAAATGGGAGTTCTACAGGCCAGTGGGGTTCTACTGTGGTGGCACATGACCAACACCAGCCAGAACTCCAGCAAGGATGGAAACGGGGAAGGGAAGGCCAAGGATGAGATTTTAATGTTAGGACCTCACAGCTGCGATCTTGCAACTTCTCAGGAGCTTATTTATCTATTTTTTAAAAAATTTTATTTATTTGAGATAGAGAGAGACAGAGTGCACTGAGGCAGAGTGAGAGCGAGAAGCAGACTCCCCGCTGAGTGGGGAGCCCGATGCGGGACTCGATCCCAGGACCCTGAGGCTGTGACCTGAGCCCAAGGCAGATGCTTAGCCGACTGAGCCACCCAGGCGCCCCTTCTCAGTGGTTTAAAAGGAGTTTTCTTCAGCTGCCTGCCCATGATTACAAAAACGACACTTCCTATAAGGGAGTGGGCAGCAATTATCTATCGGGCCTGCTTCTCTGGACTCGTGATAAGACTGTAAGGTAGGGGATGACCTGTGTCTAGGAATCCCTACGTATTTCAATCATTGATGAACACCCTGGACTTTGCAGCCATTTAAAAAAATCAACAGCTAAATTTTTATTTCTTTGAATTAACTTAATTAAAAACATTCTCAATTGACATTACTTTTTCTCTTGTTCTGTTTTGTGCAAGCAGTGGGGTAGAGGACCTTAACCGGGCAAGCTGGCCGCCGAGCTTCCGAGCTGTGAAGTCACACACACACTTCCCTGAGATTCACTTCACTGCTACTCCCTTCTTTTCCTATCCCCTGGGAAAAAAGACATGCAAGGCCCCTCTGCAAATTCCAGCCACTCTTCGGGGTTGTCGTAACATGCACCGCACAGAACAATGCTCCTTAATTGACATTTATACTTGGGAAGTGAGGACAGAAGCGTTTGGGGGACTTGGGGCACCTGGATGACTCAGTCGGTGAAGGGTCTGACTCTTGATCTCAGCTCAGGTTTCGATCTCAGGGTTGTGAGTTCAAGGCCTGCGTTAAGTGTTTGGGCAGTGGCTGTTTCCAGTCTCTGGATGGCCAAGCCTGGAGAACCCCATGTGGTCAGTAGTGAACCACAGGAGCACAAAGGTTTAAAATGACCAAATGCTCTAATATTCCTAGAGTCATATAGCTACTGACTGTGCCACAGAGCCCTCAGGGGAGACTCGCCTCGGGTGGGGCACGCGCGAAGCTAAGGGCCTGGGTTTGCGGTGAACCCTCGAGGGAGGAGTGGTGAACTCAGTTCCATAGGGGCTCTCTACTGCCTCCCAGTGGAGGGCCTGGGGAAGGGAGCCGGCATCATCAGGCAGGAGGTGGGGACAATAATGGACTATTAGCTGCCGGGCAGGGTGCTGCTACTCACAGGCCCAAGTCGGGCACTGCTGTCCCAGAGGTACAGGGGAGGCTCTGAGAGTAGCTTGCTCAGGATGATGGACAGAGCAAGAGGAAGAACTGGGATATGAACCCAGTCTGGGGACCCTCCCAACACGCCATGGGATGGGCTGGGCTGACGCTGCTCGGGCCCAGAGCTGGAGCCCTCGAGGACTGGGAGTTCCACCGGGCATGCCCCAGTCAGGCGGTCTCAGCGGTTGGCCTGAGTCCGATCCAGCCGTATGGGTATCCGCTAAGAGGTCCCAGTGGTGGCGCCATGGGCGGGGCAGGAGCAGGCCGGGGCTGACCGCCCTCAGGAGCCCTCGTGTTCAAAGCCGGACGGCATTGTATGTATGTTCTTAGAGGTAGCTTATCAACGTTTAAACCCGTTGGCTGGCTCAGCCTGAGTGCCCTCCACCCATCCCTCTGGAAACCAACAGGAAGCAACCTGCCGCCCCCGACTTGGCAGCCGGGGAGGGAACCTACCAAGATTGTTGTCCGTCAGCACCTCTTTGACTCTCTTGGTGATGCCGTAGGTGTCCAGCTCTGGAGACATGGCTACCAGCTCTTGGATGCTGAGGGCCGAGTGTCCGGAAAGAGGCAGAGGGGTGGCGGGCTGGGAGTCTGAGGCGGGTGGGTCGCTGGGCTCTGGTGGTTTGCCATCCTTACTCGTCTCAATGGGGGGACAGGGCTGTTGGACCAGCTCAGTCAAACTCTTGACGGATTCACTAGAGCTCATCGGTGACTCGGGTGCAGGGCTACAGCTAGCAGAGGTCTTTGGAGTGCTTTCTGTAATTAAAGCACATGACAATCTGGGGCTGAAAAGAGCTGTCTTTCAGGGTGCACGTCTACTTTCCTTACCTAGGAAGTATCAGTGAAATGCCCATGTAAGCATACAGCATGGCAGCTATGGTTCTAAGGCTGGGAGAACCCTCTAATGTTCTGTCTTACAGAATAAAACATAACAGCAACAGAAGAAAAACTTGGGGGTTAAACGAAAGGTTTCTGAAGGCCCAATGTAAGGGCATTCTGTTGAGAAACCGCTGTCCTATGAACCACGGGCTCGCAAAGTCGTGATTTCTTCCAACGGGACCCCCTCATTCCCTAATTCAGAAGGACCTTGGCTAAATTATAATTTGCAGATTTATTCTGTCCATAATTTCCAGAACAAAATGAATGGGTGGGTTCTTTTAAATGAGGGCTGCCCACAGGGCGTGGCCACCATGGTTATGAAGACGCTCGAAGAGGAGACCTAAGGCCTCGGCGGCTGGCCCCAGCAGGGGGGCCCAGGACTCAGTCCCGAGACTCCATGTGGGTTCTTGCTGTGACCCCGGAGGGCTCCATAGCACCCAGCTGGAGGGAACCGACAGAAGAGGAGCACCCACTCTGTTCCCCATCAAACCCCAGGACGCGCGTCTGAAGGCGGAGCTCTGTTTATCTATGCCACCCATGCTGTGGCCACTGCCAGGAGAGATGGGGCCAGGGTGGCAGCCAGGTCTCCATGCTCTCCCTTCTTAAGAAGGATCTCTGTCCCATCGCAGGTGCCCAGGGGGGAGTGCCACCCCGTGCTCTGTTGGGGAGCAGTCCCTTCTGGTCTCCCTGTCAGCATCACCTGTGAAACCCAGCATCCATTTTAGTTTTGGGATGTCTGGAATAAAGGCTTTAGCCATGTCCTAATTACCAGATACAGAGAAAGGCTGTGTCCGGAAGGAAAGTGCAGAGTGATTTAGCACCGTGGTCCTACCCATGAGGTAAAATCTGCCGATGGCTTGGTGTCTGGTATGGTCTCCCCTGACCCCTCCCCGGCCCCCCCATCAAGCAGGGTACATGGTAAGACCGCACGGCACCATGTGTGAGGGGCCAGGTGTCATCACGTGGGTTCTCTGGCCCTAGAGAGATGATATGCCTCAGAAAGCAGGCCACTCATGGAACATCAGCACACACGGGCGCCCCCCCTCTCAAAATACTCACTACCTGATGAAACAAAATGTTAACCCTGAGTGATGACTGAATTTCAAATGGCCATAGACATGGGGTATCCTTTCCTGGACATATCATATGCAGGATAAGAGCCTACTCTGAACTCAAGAGGATGGGAAATGTATGCCGAATACAAGGGCTCTTTCATATAAATACCTAGAAAGATAAAAATCCCAAGTAAAACTGCAACTCAACCGATAAACCCGTTTATTGTCCTAAGCAGGAACAGAGTCCCACCATCACATAAACCTGTGTCCTCAACCTCAAAGATCTGGCTTAAAAAAAACCACAACCCACTGGTTTGTGAAAGATGTAAAAGAGATAGGCGTAAACAGCAGAAATGATCCATATAAATCTTTAAGGCAATATGAATCCTACAAATCGGATTTCTTCCCTCTGCTCACCTCCAGGTCATCATACAACTGGATATAAAACCCAGCAAATGTTATTTTTGTATCTGAAGCAGCAAAGAAATTGTACTGTAAATTTGCCCTGATTCACCCATGCGAGGGACCGATTTGACAGATCATCCATCTTGCTCACTGCAGACTGTCAAGGACGGTAGGAATCCCCACATGATAAACAGATTCCTTCTCAGGTTTGTGTCCTGTAACCCACAGCAAGGTCAAAAGCATGGCTGCCTGGCTGACAGACCGCACGGAGCCACTGCCCTGGTGCTTCCCGTTTTGTGTGGCGCCAGCCGAGACGGAGCTCCCGGCTCAAAGCCCTTAAGATCAAAACCCCACCTTGGCCTTGAAAGGTACTGGGTGCGTGCTGCCGGGCTGGTGTGCACTGGACTCCGCTCTGAGTCTGGGTCTAAACGTAACAGACAACTCGAAGCTGAGTGCTCTTTCTGGGGTACGTTACTCATGGAAAGACACATGTGCACACAGATAACCACCGTGCTCTCAGCTCACGGAAAGCAGAATCGGGCCCCTGTGTTTGGACAGGCAGGACAGATGCAATAGCAAATGGCCCCATTGGAGACCCCACGAGTTCTCATGCTGAGAACATCACTGTGGAAAGAGTCACTTCTATTTTTTTTTAAAGATTTTATTTATTTATTCATGAGTGAGAGAGAGAGGGAGGCAGAGGGAGAGGGAGAAGCAGACTCCCTGTTGAGCAGGGAGCCTGATGTGGGGCTCGATCCCAGGACCCTGGGATCATGACCTGAGCCGAAGGCAGATGCTTAACTGGCTGAGCCACCCAGGGGCCCAGAAAGAGTCATTTCTTCAGAAAGCTGTTTCCAGTAAGCACCCAGCTCCAGCACCCGAACCAGCACCATAGCAGCAAACTCAGTAACCAAAGCCAAGCCAGAGCCCCCGGCAAGGCGGCCCCGCCCCTGGGTGCAGGAAGGACACGTGGTTGCCTGTCCTTGACCATCCTGACAGAACAAGAGATGTTGTCCACAGAAAAGAAGAAATATTACTTTTTTTGGTTTTGTTTTCCAAGTATCAGTAAACAGAGACTTCTGTCTAAAGCAATACTTTCTGAAGTAATAAGGCTTTCTTCCACTCCATGTAATTAAAAATAATTAAAAAAAAAAAAAGGAGTCGTCCTGGGCTTGGCATTAAGATATGAACTCGGGGATGGGGCTACCTCTACTAGTCGGCTGTGTTCGCATGAACGACATTCACAACTTCTTGGGACATCTGGTTTCCTCATCTGGAAAATGCCAACAGTGTTGCAGTGAGGACTGAACCTCCCACATGGCTGGTGCTAAGAAACACAACCTGAATTTGATGGTTTTTTTTGTTTGTTTGTTTTTACAAAGTGGTTATTAAATTGTATTGAAATGTATTTGTTGGGATGCCTGGGTGGCTCGGTCGGTTAACTGTCCAACTCTTAGTTTTGGCTCAGGTCATGATCTTGGGGTCATGAGATCGAGCCCCATGTCAGGCTCCATGTTCAGTGCAGAGTCTGCTTCTCCCTCTCCCTCTGCTCCTCCCCCAGCTCATGCTCTCTTCTCAAATAAATAATAAAAAAAGAAGCCTTATTTTATCATCATTCGTAAGAGAAGCTCCTACGTAAGCTAACATCATTTCTCGTGCACTCCCTGCGTGCCAGGCATTGGGCTAAGACTCACGAGAATGACCAGCCGCGCTCCTCACAAGGACCTCACAGTGTGAGGCAGGTATATCCATTTCCCTCCTTTGACAGACTTAAGATGTCCTGTCCGGTGACATAGCCAGGAACCGGTCAGATGTTCTGTATTCAAAACAGCCCACCTGTACAGGGGGGCCCACACCCGCGTGTCCATTCATGGCAGCACGACTGGGCCTGCCTTCCAGGACACGACTGCTCTACAATCCGTATGTCACCATGCATGAATCTCAAAAACAGGATGGCCAGCACCCAAAAGCTAACCCACTACTGGGATTAGGGAAGGGAACCAGAATGCACTTAGTACCCAGTGCTAAACGGAGGGCGTTTACACACTGCTGCATCTGATTCTCCGCACTCCAGGCGGGGAAACCGAGGCACAGACAGGCAATATTACTTGTCCAGGTCACGTGGGTGGAGAAGGATCTGAACCAGACTGAGAGTGGAAAGCCTCCGTGTTTCCACCCACCCTTTGTCTGGCAGTCACTGGAGTAGCCGCGTGCCTGCCCTTCATTCATTCATTTGCTCGCTCGCTCGCTCACTCAAGCATTCTGAAAGCGCCTATTCTGTGCCATGCAGTCCGCCGGGCACTGGGGATAAGAGAAATCAGACACCCATCTTGCTTCGGCGGCACCCGCAGACCGCAGGGCTGGGCCAATCGAAAATGGGCAATTTGCATACTGGGAAAGCCCCGGCACAGAGCTCATCTACCCGATATTGACAGCAATAGTAAGGTGTTACATTAAGAAGTAACCCATGTGGATTACATTTTTTTTTTTTTTTTTTTGCAAAGCTTCGAATCTTGCACAGGAGTCGCTTGGTTAGTAAGATAAGGAGAGCAGAGGCAGTGACTCGAGGCCCTCCGAAATGCATAAGGCATCCAGGAACTATAAAAGGATTATGAAAAATATTATATTCCAAAAACAGCAGGCAAACAACAGCTGCCTTAAGTTTTCAACAAAAGCCCGTTGAAAACGCTCACCCACCATAATTTCCAGAGACACATCTCCCTGCAGTTTATCCGATCCACCGCTGAAATTTCCATACCCGGCCCTCTATCTGCAGTAATAATAACCCAAATTCCATTTAGTGTTCATTTGAGCAGTCAGGATAAAGTCATTTCTTATTATCTCCCCACTGTGTAAAAAACAGCTTGAAGGTAGGAAGTCAGCAAGCATTTTCACCAAAAAGTAATTATTGTAAGTGACATTTTTACTGCTGGCATGCCATAAGGCGAACTGTGCATTCAGAAGGACAAGTTGCTGAAACAAAATGACAGGGTACTCTGTGACATTCTGACAAGAACCCAAACATTATTTAACTGGTGGCTGGTCTGATGCACCACTTTTCATTATGTCCATAGTTTTAGGCTTTGAGCCCCTGCCAAGCCAGGAAATTCCAAGTGACTATAAAGACAGACAAGTATGGGGAGATGGGAGACGGGAGGGAGGAGTTGGGGGGGCGGGGGGTTGCCGAACAGAGCCGGGGAGCAGCATGGCCGGGGCTGGCACATGGAAATGGGAGCGAGGGACGAAATCAAGGAGACAAGGAAAAGGGGGTGCACGGGGGAGGGGAAGAGTGGAAGACGGAGCCAGAAGGGGGGACGGCAGGCTCTCCAGCTGCAGCTGCCTGGTGGGGCCAGGGTGTGCAAAAGGTCCTGAGGCACCTGGTGCTGGCATCCTGGGTCCAGCGGGTGCCCTGGTGGC